GCTTTGCGCGAAATACAAAATAAACAAACAAATAAACAGCTAAATCTAATAATACATTCAAATTTTTGGACTTTTATATGTTTTAATATAATTTATAAGAAATATTTCAAGTACAAATTTTACTAGCTTCACTGAACACAGATATAAAAACAAATATGACGTATTTGTAATACAATGTAGATAGATTAAATTCAAGAACTTAATGTTCTAGGGCCAATGATAATTCACTTTCCATAAAACTTACAGTAAAACGTCAAATAAGTGACGATTTCAAGCAGAAAAATTCTTTCTAAACGTCACGATTCTGTAATAGCCGAATTTCTTATAGGCTCTTTCTCCCCGGTGGCTCAGCGGAAAGCCTTAAACCTTATGGCCCCCCAGTGGCACAGCGTACTTACAACGCTAGAAACTGGGTTTCGATACTCGTGGTGGGCAGAGCACAGATAGCCCATTGTGTAGCTTTGTGCTTAATTCAAAACAAACAAGCAAAATAAACCTTACGACGCTAAAATTCGGGTTAGATAACCCATTGTTTAGCTCTTTGCTTAATAACTAACAAACAAACAAAGTTATAGACTCTTGAGGTAAAACTGGTGATAGGTAATAGTGTATTTGAATAATTAAAGACACTGATTTAGATACAATGTCTATAGGTGAGTGGATGACATGTAGTTTTTTGTAGCGACTACGATGACATGACATATCACATGTTTTCTACCTGCTTTTATCAATATAGGAATTTTTAAACATTTTCATTTAGTGTGATTCTATGTATTTTTGGCATACACACGAGCTCCCGAAAACTGTTGAGTTGTTTCATTCCAATCACCCTTGTTTCTTTGTTGTTCTCTAACAGGCGATGTCTGCAATTTTTCACATTGTGTATGTCAAAATAATGGAGGTTTATCCTTCTTAATATTATATATAGTAGTAATATTTAGTAAGTGGTTGAATAATATGGGTGTTGGGCTAAGGGTTCTTCTACAGTAGATGTCTGTGACATCAAAAAATAAACGAATAGCACGCATTCCGGTTGTTTTAACATAATATATATATATTCAAAACAAGTTAAACGTATGTACAAAAATTCTTTACACTTCCTTTTTTCATAGCTGTATCTTAAATACTATAAAGTTCTCTTCTTTTTTTCAAAATTCCACTTAGGCCTATTCAATTGCTTTAGAATTCAGTTGACAAGCCAAACTATTTTTCTCTATTTTATCTTTTATCGTAACAGTATCGGTGCATAATTCATTTACGTTGTCGTTGAGTTACCGCAGTTATATCCTGAACTTTCGATACTCGTCTGCTATTCGTATTTAGGCCTACTTCCAATAAACATATGCTTTTCTCATATAGGCTTACTTACAAATAATCGTCTGCTTTTTGTCAAAGTCCACACAAGCAGGTTCAATTGCTTTAGAACACCTTTTGACAAGACAAATTATTATCCTAAAATGCCAAAAAATTGTTAATCTCACTTCAACATATCAACTGCTAGGCTATTCACTCCTACAATGGTTAACTTTACATTTTTTAACAATTCTTTGACCGAAACTCTACTTCCTGTGACTTTACTTTCTCGTCTGCTCTGTCTGTTTGTTGTTCCCACTTGTCTCACACTATTTATATATTTATCACTTAATCGTATGCTCACCTTCTAGAAATCTCTATATCCTCGACATAAAAAAATTTCACACGATGTTCGATAGCCTTAAAATCCATGAATTATAAACACAACTTCCAATAATCGTCCACTTTTAACTCTCTTATTATAAACAAACTAAACAATCATAAAATATTAACTCACAAACTAATTAATTAATACTACCTACACTAAACATTCTTTTATATCTGACAGTGTAAAATAAGTCATCAACAGTAATGTCCTCTAGTGGCTGAACAGATGGTATCTAAGAGTTACAGCCTTTGTATGTTATAAGAGAACAACACTTATCGCTTATGGGTAAAACCTACATATTGTTATGTTTCTGGTCGTTTGTTAATTTTCCGTAGAAATTCTTTCCGAAAAACTTCAGCAATACAAGTCCTTTCTTAAATAAAACTAC